ACCTTCTTAACTTAATTTTTCATATTGACTTGAAATTTTGCAGTCAGTGGCAAAACAATGGGGCTCATCACTAATCTAGAAAAAGTTATCCACAGGATTAGCGATCTGGTAGGCATGACTTTTTTTTTTGCCTTTCTTGACACTGAATCTGGTGTCAAATTATGCAAGGTCTCCAGCCATCCAGTAACAGTGACATCATCCAGCAGGCTAAGCAGCTGGCGCACCAATGTATTCTCAAATTGCAAACCAGGAGGTATAATGCATTTATCTTCCTTAAATGTCGAAATGGAGAGCAAAACATCATTAGGGCTCATGCATTTGAAGCTCAAAGATCATAATCAAAATTAAAATTGAGAGAATGGGGAAAAACGTGGGATTGCACAATGTATACAAATTAGCACTCCATAGCCAAAGAGGCTCTCCAGCAGTCTGTGTTTAATGCAGAATTAAAAAGGCTTTTACAGGGGTTTATGTAAAGGGACTAATGATGTCACAGGACAAGTTCTTGTCAGTTCATTGATTTCTAAGTAATTGCAGTCTGGAAATTCACCAGCATACCAGTGACTGCAACTTCTGGATATGCAGTTCAAATGCAATATGTCAATTCCACAGATTGCTGCCCATTTCATTAAAGTAGTGATGGCAAATACAGAAATCTACCGCCATTACTACACAATACTGCAAGCCTTAATTATCAAAAATGTGTTAAAAATAATTGCAAGACATTTCACACTAAAATTCTATGAAAAGAACATAATTTTAATTAGAACTTGTATTACTTACCATGTTCAACAGCACTGGAAATGTATTCTAACTTCAGAGCCAGATGGGTACAATTTGGACAAATCTTGTTTCGCAATTCTGTACCAAGTCGTCCTCCACTGCACAATACAACAATCACTACCAGCAGCAGCCAGCCACTCTCAAATCGCATGGTCACAAAATCATAAAATGTTTCCAAAGATCCAGAAATCCAATCCGTTGTGTTGTCTCAACGATCAGTTCATTTTCCTTACTGAAAAGGAGATCTTACTGGTGTTCAGTTTGAAAGAGATGTTTGCAAAATAAATCATTTTGGTTTCCATGATATTTAAGCAATTGTTGACAGTACAACCCAGCTCAGAAGGCTTTCATTTCTTTCTCCGTTTCTTCTCCATGGCATCCGACTGTTGCAATCACCAACGTTGTAGCATAACGACTGGAGATTCCATTTGTCAGTCAATCAGATAAAGAGGAAAGCAATGCACAAATCCACCAGTCTCACCTCAACTGCTGAGTCTATTTACTGGAATAGGAGAGAAGTGGAGATGGTTAGGATTTCAAATGATTTGTTGGGTTGGGTGGGGGGTAAATATCCAAGTAGCAGAATAACTTTTATAGCCCCTTAATCCACCCAGCACCCCATTCTTTGAGACAATGAAGCAAGGTGGAAGAGACCAAATCTCCTTTGACATCTAGAAGAGCATCCCTCCCTCACCAACTCTAGAATTCTTACTTCTACCCTTCAAAAGGGGTATACAGTCTTCTACCAAAAGCAGGCCAAGTATTCTCATGAATGAATCAAAAGTGCCATCACAAAGTAACAGAATGCTCTTGCACCACCTAGTCCTCCATTACGGACAGTGGTCTCATTCAGAAATCTGGTAAAAGGATTTTCTGAAGAGTCCGAGTGATCAATAACGGTCCAGGTTTGAAAAGGCACTAGTTCCTAACCAGGATCTACTGCATCCAATATTTAACTTTAAACAACTTATATAGAAATTAGGAACAAAATAGCGAAATGCAACTAATGGGAGGAAAGACTTGAAAATATTTGCAATTTTGTTCCACAGAAAAAGACTTGAAACCACAAACACACCCTCAAATATTTCAGCCATATTCACAAATAGACATTACTTTTAACATGCTTCCCACCAAACAATCAACAATCTGAAGATTTATTTTGCAGCTCAAGGTCCATACTTATCTTGCAAATTTACAAAATTTCAATAATCAGCTGAGGATTCATTTCTCCAAGACTTGCTTTCCAGTTGAGAAACGAAAGCGTTTAAGTAGGCATAAGGAGTTCATTTCCAATATGGATTTAATTTTAATTGCGATGTAGGGTGTGAGATTAATATGCACTTCAATATCATTTGATTTTAACTTCGGCTGTTTGAATTTTGATTTAGTGAAATTTGGGTTTTTCTGTGTATCTGAAGAGTTTAATGATTAAATTGTAGCCCAGGTGATTTCTTTTAAAACAACTCGATGCAGAGATACATTGCGAGTTTATGACTCAGCAGAGTAAACATCATGGTTTCCTGTTAGAAACTTTTGGAATGTGTTTTATTTAAAGCTTAAAGAAACACCCATAGCTGAAAATAATGTTTTATTTTAAAGTTTCATTTTGGGGAGGTTTTGCAAAGGTCTTTGGGCGAAGACGAACATATAAAGCAGTTCTCCCAAATAAAAGGAAGATAGCAAAATTAAGTTGCTTTACAGCAATGAGTTTAGTAATAGTTCTAGACCAGAATTTTTGAATAAAACATTGACAAGGTTATTTGAAGATGAGATTGTTTCAATTCAGATCTATGAAAACCCCAAGAAAAGCCTTTCAGGCTTTCCAGGCGGAGTGTTAAAATCACAGTTGTACTTAATCTATAAAGGTGTTAAAGAAAAAGATCCTTATGAGTGCTGTGTAAGGGTGTTCTTTGTTACTGTAGAAGGGTGGTTTGGAATTAATGGGATTATACTTTACAGTACGTTTCAAAATCTCTAAACTTGTGTTGTGTAAGTAGTTTGGGTTTATTTTATTTTATCTACATTTCCCATTGTTAAAACCAAATCTGCAACTTTGTGTGCTTATGTTTCAGTAAGCGACTACTTCGTTAAAACCAAAACAAATACTACAATATATCAAGCAAGATTTCAGTCTGGGACCGGACTTGTTCAATAAATAAGCCAAAGCATATTTTGAGTGTAATCATTGCTGTAATGTAGAAAACGCAGCAGCTAATTTGCATTCAGCAGACTTGCGCAAACAACAGTATAAACAATCAGAAAATGTGTTTTTGTTACAATTGCAGGGTTTAGACAGCATTTATGAATAATAAGGTATGATTGGCCCGAAACACTTCCACAAATTGCACAAATACAACCAAGTACAAGGATCACACTTTCATCAAGATTACCACAAACATCAGCAATTTGAAATACACATTAAAGATGGTCTAATATTTCATTAAAATTCCTTCAGAAATTAAACACATTTAATGTGGCTAAATGCCTCATTACGGACTGAAAGTTATTAAGTGAATTTGAGCCCAGTCCACAGTGCCTTACAACCAGCTGCAGCACTGTGCTGCTACTCCCGCAAAGAGCGGACAGCAAAAGAAGGTAAGAGAAAAGAATGGACTTGAGTCTCGTAGCCATCAACAAACTAGCAGTCTCACAAATATGGGCGTTTTGAGCTGGACACACATTTTTAAAGGAACATATGGGAAGAGGGTGAAGTGGGGAAAGATGCTCAAGTGCTTGCATTCTAAACTCTATTTTCACATCACTTCCATTTGAAACAAAAGTTCAAACTTGCACAGTCACTCATTTTTAGAAAAAGTTAAAAATATTCTACAAACAAATGCTCCTCTTCTAAAATCCAATGATAATTGGAGAAAAGCAACAATAGATGATGGTTGGGACAGAAGTCAATTTTAGACATGATAGTGACAACAGCTTCATAAACAGATACTGCATCTCTCACATCAGTTTGGCAACCACCAAATTAAACACAGGGTTTGATAGTCAGTGGGTTGTCATGCTCACCACTAGACATTAGGTTTGAGGATTCAAGTTCCACTCCAGGACAAAAACATTTAGTTGTGTAGTATCAAGTAAGAGCTTAAGATAAAACAAAGAACTCCAGATGCTGAAGATCTGCAACAAACACAGAAAATACTGAAGAAACTCAGCAGGTCTGGCAGCTTCTGTGGAGGGGAAAAACAGAGTTAATGTTTCAGTCCAGTAATCTTTCTTCAGAACGAGAAGCAGCTAGAAGCCATGCCAACAATTCTGTCTCAGGCATTCTCCAGTGAAGCTCAGCATAAATAGGAGAAACAACATCCTATCATCCACTTAGGTCACTTACAGCTTTCAGGACTCACATCAATTTCACAGCATGAATAACTCTTTCCTAGTCTATTACCTACCCTCAAAATCCTGTCATGAAATGGTTTGCTTCCACCACAACTAACCCATTTTTAACTACTATAGTTCCCACGATCACTTATCTAGTATCGCTTCTTCCCTGACATAAAATCAACAATCCCTTTGCCCACCTTTTCATCCCCTCTATCAAGGACTCCATCTCCACCTATCTGATCCCCTCTCCTCCCAGTTATCAGCATAACTAACACCTTTCCCAAGCTGCTTCTCGTCTTGAAGGATCACAGGACTTGAAATGTGAACTCCACAGATGCTGCCAGAAACCAGTGAGGCAGGAGTCCAGCCAAGAAACAACTGAAGTTAGGAGGTCATGTGGTGACATCTCACAGAATATAATTTAGTTCATTAACGGGATGAGGGTGTCACTGCCTGTGTCAGCATTTGTTGCCCATCCCTATCTGCCCTCAAGTGTCACTGAGCGGCTTGCTGGGCCACTTCAGAGTGCAGAGTACAGTCAACATGTAGGCCAGACTAAGTAAAGACAGTAGTATTACTTCCATAAAAAAAGGACACTATTGAACCAGCTGGGTTTTTACAATAATCAACAACAGTTTCATGATCATTACGGGATTTTTAATTCCAGAATTCAAGTTACATCCCTCTGGTAGGATTCAAACATAGGTCTTCAGGTTACTGGTCCAGCGACAATACCACCATGCCATCGCTACCTGTCCAAACTTAATGATCTGATTAAGACAGCCAATTACTGATTCCCTCTGCAAACCCACAGGCGTGTGTGGCCTCTAAAGAAAGCTCAACACACCAACTCAACTCTGCCCACACATGCAGGGATAGTATCATGCAAAGATGCAGGTTTTTTTTTTAAGATATACAGAAGGTAAAGGAAGGTGGCTACTGGACCCCTGGAAAATGAGGCTGGAGAAGTCATGACGAAGAGGGATTTTGCATCATTATTCATGGTGGAAGACACCAGTAGCATACCAGAACATCATCAATTTAGGAGCAGAGGTGAGTACAGTGGCCATTACTGAGGAGAAGATACCGAGGAAGCTGAAAGGAATGAAGGTGGAAAGGTCACCCAGACCAGATAGACTACACACTAGCATTCTGAAGGAAATAGCTGAGGAGATTGTGGAAAAGTTGGTGGTGATCTTTCAGGAATCACTAGAGTTGGGGAGGGGCCCAGAGGACTGGAAAATTACTAATGTAATATCCCTGTTTAAAAGGGAGGGACGCAGAAGACAGGAAATTATAGGCCAGTTAGCCTGACCTCAGTCGTTGATGCGATTTTATAGTCCATTATTAAAGATGAGATTGCAGAGTACTTCGAAGTGTATGGCAAAATAGGGCTGAGTCAGCACAGCTCTGTCAAGGGAAGGACATGGCTGACAAATGTTAGAATTTTGAGAGCAGGCAACAAGCAAGTTAGACAAAGGACAGCCAGTTGACATGATCTATTTGGATTTCCAGAAGGCCTTTGGCAAGGTGCTACACTGAAGGTTGCTAACCAAGAGAAGAGCAAAGGGCATTAGGGGTAAGATAATCATAGAATTCCTACAATGCGGAAAGCAGCAGTCTGCACTAAACGTCCAAAGAACATCCCACCCAAACCCAGCCCCCTCCCGATCTCTGTAACCCTGCATTTACCATGGCTAGTCCACCATGGCTGTACATTACTAAACTGGCACATCCCTAGACTGTACAGACAATTAAGTATGGCCAATCCACCTACACGGCATGGAGAGAGGATTTGCTGGCTGGCAGAATGCAGACAGTGATGATAAAAGGATCTTTTTCACGACAGCAGCCAGCGACTAGTGGAATTCCTCAGGGGTCAGTAGAGACCACAATTATTCACAATACACATAAATGATCCGAATGATGGAACTGAGGGTATAACTGGTAAGATTGTAAACGACACAAAGATAGGAAGGGGGGCAGGTAGTGTTGAAGAAGCAGGGAAGCTGCAGAAGGAAATGGATTGTCTAGGTAAGTGAGGGAAGAAGTGGCAGATGGAATACAATGTGGCAAAAGGAGGTCATGTACTTTTGTAGGAAGAAGAGGCATTGACTATTTTCTAAACGGCATTTGTGAGTCCTAGTTCATAATTCTCTTAAGGTTAAGAGA